GGCGGTCGCTCAAGATCGAAAATCTCCGGAAGTACGGGAGCCTATTCGTTGCTCACCGTAATATGCCGCAGAGCACCTCGCCATTGAATACAGAGATATCATGGTACCGTGAAGTATACATCGAGAGGATACACAGATGAGAACAGGTCATCTGTCGTGCTACATGCTAGAAGGCTAGCCCGGCAAACAAAGTCTGCACAACTTCAATCTTGATTCCAATTGAACAGTCAGCATCTAATGATGTTCAGCGCGCAAAACTCACCAAGTAGTGAAGCAACAGATTTGAATGCTCCTCAGCCGTGCTAGAACTGCAGGAAGATGAATCGAAGAGAAAGCGTGTCGAAATGATGAGTTCAATTGAGCTGTGACGGCGGGCGCTACGTGACGCGTATCACGTGCATGTGACGTCGGGAATACCTCGCGAGCCACGCGACGGGTGAGACTGAGAGCGCCGAGACTCGAGCTCGACTTTGGAACCAGATCGTCGTCGGCGTCGGCGACCACCGCCATTTTCGACCACCACCAACAGCACATACACATTCCCTAAGTCGTGCGCAAGACAAGTATCGACTTACAGCAAGCAATTCTGCCCCGTAGACAGGATTATTTCGTCACCATCCCCCGGCTGCGGCGCCTGTAATTGTTCGCATTGCAATATCGCGAAGCTGCAGCCATGGCCAGTCCATTGAGCAGCACACCGTCGCTGACACCCTCAAGATCACCATCACCAGAACCCCCAGTGCAACCCGACCATTTCTACGGAAACGAGAATGCAATCTTCTCCTCCCCGAGCTCAGACGGCAAGACTTGGCTTGACCCCGCAGATGATCCCCTCGCTCAACGGGGCATCCCCGTTTTCAAGCCATCCATGGAGGAGTTCCAAGACTTTGAAGGATACATGAACAAGATTGAATGTTGGGGAATGCGAAGTGGAATAGTCAAGGTCATCCCGCCAAAGGAATGGTACGCTGCTATATCGGTTGCCCATGAGTGCACGAACCCGTAAGACTCACCGCACGTGTCTCTACCAGGACCGACTCCCTTCCTCCCGTTACGAACCAACTTGGTGAGATCAAGCTGAAGAACCCGATCGAGCAGCATATGCTTGGTCGCGGAGGCTTGTTCCGTCAAGAAAATATCGAGAAGCGACGTATTATGAGCGTCCGCGAATGGGCAGAACTATGCTCCAAGGATGACCTGCGTGCTCCTGGTGTCGATGACATTGGTTTGCATGCGCGAGCAACGAATGGGACGGCAAAGACCAGGACGAGAAGGACGACGAGGAGAAAGACTCGCGATCCGGAGACCGCCGAACCGGAGATGACGCCTGAAGTGCAAGTCAAGGAAGAGCACGAGGATGAAGGTGGGATTAGAGTGGAAGACCTTCGTCAGATGGAGGACAAAGAGAAGGCTCCGCCGTCTCCCATTGACGGCCACACATCAATCGTTAGCCATGACGATGAACAACTCGATCGCGAGCACGAAGAGCAATCTGAAGAGCATCCTACCTCGCATACGGAGGGCGCTGACCACGTCTCCGAGCGCCACCCTTCAGCAGAGGAAGGGGATGATAGCAAACCTAAGTCTAAGAGGCGCGGTCAGACAAAGGAGGCTCGCGAAGCAGCTTTAGCGGAGCGTGCAGCGAAGGATGAGGCCTTCCTCGAGACCTTTGATCCTCATTCAGACTGGTTGCCACCCAATACTACCCAGTTCGACTACACGCCAGATTTCTGCAGAGAGCTTGAAAGAAAGTACTGGCGCAACTGTGGACTTGGTAAACCTGCCTGGTATGGTGCCGATATGCAAGGTGGGTGAAGGCATGATGGGTGGATCTTAGTCACGTTACTGACCCAATTGAGATAGGTTCTCTTTTCACCGAGCAGACCACCGCTTGGAATGTGGCTCATCTCCCCTCGATGCTGTCGAGACTCCTTCCGGAATCGTCCAAGGACCTCCCCGGAGTAAACACCCCATATCTATATTTTGGGATGTGGCGTGCTACTTTTGCCTGGCATGTCGAAGACATGGACCTCTTCAGCATCAACTACATCCACTTTGGGGCGCCTAAGTATTGGTACGCCATGCCACAGGCTCGGGCAATCGCTCTGGAGCATGCTATGAAAAGTGTGTTGTGCTTCTTCTAAATCTTTGATATGGGAGAGTGCTGATAAGAGCCTTGGCTCCTCTAGGCTACTTCCCGAAAGACATCTCACAATGCCCACAGTTCCTGCGCCACAAGTCTTTCCTTGCCTCGCCAACCTTGCTTTCTCAATCTTCGTGTCGGCCGAACACTCTCGTTCAGCATGCCGGGGAATTCGTGATCACTTATCCCCGGGGCTACCACGCTGGGTTCAACCTAGGTTTCAATTGCGCCGAGAGCGTCAACTTCGCTTTGGAGAGTTGGTTGGACTTGGGTCGAAAGGCTCAGATTTGCAAATGCGTCAATTACAGGTTAGTATGATCAAAACATATCTTCGAACATAGCGTTGTACTGAATACATCCTACCAGCGTTCGCATCGACGTAGACGAGTTGTTGCGTCAAAAGGAGATCGAGCAGGCAGAAGCTCAGAAAAAGGCTGTCCGAGAGAAATCTGCGAAGTCCAAGTCCAGTCGCAAGCGGAAGTCCACCGGATCCGACAACGAGCCTAAGGCTAAAAAGATCAAAGTGAAACCTTCCGCGAAAGCAGACCCTCCCGCGGCTTCTGCCGTCCCTCCTCCGAAGGTCACACTTAGACTTGCACCGCCAAAGCCCAAGGAGCCCGAAGTCTTTCCTTGCTGCCTTTGTGTTTCAACAAGTACTGAGGGTTTGCTGCGTGTCGTGGAACCGCCAACATGGCGCTCCCCGACCGACGGCAGTGATAGTGACGTTTGGATGGCACATGAAGAATGTGCGAATGTGATCCCCGAGACATGGGTGGACGAAATTGAGTCGGAACCTTCTTCGTCGGACGGAGACAAGCCCAAAGAACGTGTTGTTTATGGTGTGGATGCCATAGTCAAAGATCGCTGGAATTTGGTAAGTATCGCCTCGTCCATTATCAATAACACTACTGACGCCGCGGTATCCTCCTACAGAAATGCAGTGCATGTAGCAAGACTAAGCATAAGGCGCACGGCGCACCGATACAGTGCACTAAGGGAAAATGTCCTAAGGCGTTCCATGTGTCTTGCGCTCGCGATGGTGCCGAGCATGGCATTGTCTACTCTGTTGTGCGTGAGGTGGAGAAGGAGGTTGTTCTCCTTGAACCTCAGTCAGAGCCCGCTCCGCCTCCACCTTCTCATGAAGCATCGGAGCCGATGACATTGGACCCTGCTCTCCTCAGCACTGACAGCGCTATGGCTGTCGACAATCCTCCTCCAATGCAACCTCCGGCGCGTCCCGTAGATGTACACGACAGTTCGGTAAAGGTCCTCAAGTTGATTAAGAAGACCGAGGTACAGGTGCTGTGTCCTCAGCATAATCCTGTGCGTATTTGGCTGTTTCACCGTCTTATCACGTATACTGACACCCGCGTTTACCGTGTAGGAGAAGCTAGAAATCAAGAAGGCCCAGAAGCAGGAACGAATTCGCAGCGACCTGCTGAGTCTACCTCCCATGACGCGAATCAAGTTACGAGTTAGTGCTGGCGTGTTTGAGGTATCACTTGTCCGTGTGATTGAGGAAACAAAGTCTGTGGAGGTTCTTTGGGACCGCGGCTTGAAGCGAGAGTTCAAGTGGGGCAGCGTAGTGTTTGGCTCGACAGAGACGGTCGTAGGGCAGAAACCGACGGAAGCTGCCGTGGAACCTCAACGTATGTGTAACATATACATATGGTGAAGCTTAAGTTGCCGACTGATTTGCTCGTTTCAACAGCAGCCCCTGCAATCGCACCAGCCGCATCTTATGGGGTGCAAAGTGTGCCTTTCGCGCCGTTAAACTCCACAACACCTACCATCAAAATACGACATTCCCAGTACTCGCAGCCTGTCAATCAATCAAGCGCTGCACCGCAACCTTCAGCATCTTCGTCATCGTCTCCTCATACATCCGGCTCACATCATCAACCCCAGACCTCTCATTATCCTCATGCGTCCTACTACCAACGCCCTCAGACCTCCTATCAGCCACCCGGCCCACCCCAGCACTCACCTTATTCGTATTCCCCCCCTAGCTGGAGCTACCAGTATCCTCCTGGTCAATCATACGGGTCGAATCCCCAATACTCCCAGAGATATTCGCAGCCCCCGTCTGGGTACAACCCCTACACGTACTACCCTGGGTACAGTCAGCAATCAAGTGCTGTAGCTTCAAGCCAGCCCCAGGTTCCTCGTTATTATCCACCGCCTCCCCCATCGTCGTACAGTCAACACAGCTCTCAATCACCTGACCCGTCACAATCAGCTCAATCCACGTCAAGGCGTGGACTGCAATGGCAGCGTCCGTATACGGGACCTAAAGTCTCTGCGGATGGCTCGACTCCCTCGTTCCGCGTGAACGCGATACCCTATGAACCTCCACGGCTCAATGCCCTTCAGACCACCTCTCAGCCACAGCCTTACACCCTCGAACCTTCTGACGGCTCCCCTTCCGCAGACGCTGCTGCACCTGCACCTCCCGCCCCGCCTTCCGCTCCAGCTCCAACTTCTGACCCCTCCCAGGAAGCTAGCCCTGCGTAGTAACGAAGAGGATATATATCTCCGTATCATTTATTATGTAGTATTATGAGCCTATAGGCCTGTCGTCCGCAAGTCGTCAAGTCGTCGACACCCCTCCTCATCTGCTTTGTATGTTGCTATCGTTTCTAGTGTACTTTAGCCATTTCATGATCATAAATAAAACCTCTAATGATGGAATTGTGACTAAAAATACTTCGCTGCTGTGTGGCCCTCTTGAGTATATACAACGTTATAATGTGCAGAAACGAGATCTCACAGCGAACTTGAAGCAAACCAAAAAAATCCATTGGAATTGATATCGATGAGAGGCATGCATATGTATTATGGTCATATGCAAAAAGCTTGAGCCGACTGAGGTTCGAACTCAGGACCGCTTGTGCACATAAATGTAAGACAAGCGTGATAACCAACTACACCATCGGCCCTTAGAGTACTTCCTCGCCTCTGTGTCAATTGCAACCTGCAGGGTTTTTCCGACGCAGCGTGAAATCCTAGTACGCGTCGGCACGTGAGCTCCTGAGAAGACGCGTTTGGATTCCCGGACCCGCGTCCGAGTGCTCAGTGTGTCGATATCTTGTCTGTGACTCCTGTTTAGAACACAACCTCGACAACCTCCACGGTAGTGTGTATCGAATCCATATCATAAAAAGTGCTGATTGCTTATTTTACAACAACGGTAGACTCGGAGGCGGTAAACGTAGCTATGTGGGTGATCGCAGGTTCCTTCGATGGCGAACAGAATGTGGTAACGTTCCAAAGTGTGTATTTCATTACGCCTCACGCTCTTCTTCGCTGACTTCTCCGACAGAGTCAAAGCTGCTCATGCCTGGAAAGCAATACATGCTTGGCCGTAAAAATCGACCCCTCGTCCTGAACCACAAGTCAGTCTCTCATGATCATATGTCCTTCAATGTTGGAGACTACACGGAGGAGGACGTGGTGCGCAACTAACAGTATGGAATCCCTTGAATGCGCTAATGCGTGACTTTGTAGGGCAATCCGGACAAGAGGCCTACGCTTGAGCTACACAATGCTGGCAGTAAGTCACGTAGGATCGAGAGGAACGGGAAGTCCATCAACGTCAACCCTAAAGCAAGCCTAGAGCTTGAAGATGGAGATCAGATATTCGTACTGAATGATGTGCCAGTCAGGTAAGCCGTGCGGATGTTATGTGCATTGTTTCGAAATTGAGTAAATCTGGTCGCAGTGTCAAGTGGGAGAATGTTTGCTGTTACACTACGACGCCAGAAGAATTCTCAATATCTGCATGTGCGAAAATTGGTATGGCCCGAGCAAGTATCTGGACGCCTGAGTCCCATTGACCCTTTTCAATGACAGGTGTTTCTATGGTCGTAACCCCTCAACTGTCCGTTACGCACCATCTCGTATCGACATACTCGCTAACACCGGCCATTGCCTCCTCCCTCCTAACTCTGGCACATTTGGTGAAGCCGGACTGGCTCACTACGCTACTCAGTATGGGCTTCTCGTCATCCACTGACGACCCTTGCCAACTCGAGATGACTTTCTCCCTACCTCGGGTCGCCGAGTTCAGGCCAGAATACTCTCCTTCGATCCCTTCGACATTACGCACGCTCAAAGTATGGGAACCAAATGAAGCCCGTCTGAATATGTTCAGTAGATATAGGTTCGTATTTGTAGGCGAACGTGGGAGAGAAGTGAGCATAGACATGCGAGAATTGATCAAAAGGGGATCGGGGGAGTATGAGTGCTTCGCTGTAGAAAGCGGAAGAAAGAGTTTTCATGGGGTGTTGGCCAAAGGAAAGGGGAAGGGAAAAGAACTGGTCCTTGTGGCCGATGAACATGCCATGGGTACTGCCGTTGGAAAGGACCAGTGGATGGAGTACGTGCAGGAGGCTGCAGAGTGAGTGCTTCCTATGCTGATGTGTCGTTTATTGACGCAAGCCCCTATTGGGAGATAGGTACCACCTTCAGTTCATACGACCGGAGAAAATTACGCAAGCCGTTGCCCATGTCGACATATCCTATATCAACTCTGCACTCACAGAATCAGTGAACAGTCCGTTTTTTATTGCTTCACAACCATCTTGTCATATTCATCGTCCGCTCAGATCCACATCGCTTCTCAACTCCGCTGCCCGATGTCGTTCCCAACACACACGTCGAAGAACCCTCGATACCGCCGTCAACGTCGAATGCTCCTGCGCCCGATGTGCCTCCCGAACCTGCGCCACCAGTGCCCAAACTTGTTCGTCGGACCACGCGGAAAACTACGGCACCTATTGACGATGATGAGCCCATAGTGGTCGACAAACCTGCAGATAGCAATGATGCTGAGGCGGGGCCTTCGAAGGAGAATGAATCTAAGGAAGAGTCACCTGACATCCCAATAAGAGTAGGTCGTATGCTGTTTGTAGAAGACAGTTTTGCTAAGGCATCGTTAGAAACCCCTGCGTCGTAGGACAACAGCGTCGAAACCCGTGGAGGACAAATCCATGGACGATGACAGCGTCATCCTTGAGCCTCCACCTAAACCTCCATCGCGTACTGTAAGCCCACTTGCTTCTCTATCTGCATGAGGCGTTGTCATTCTGACTACACTTTCACAGCAAACCCGTCTTAGGCGACGCGATCCCAAGTCAAAACCTGCTGGTTTCACTTTCGTTGATCCATTCGAGGAAGAAGAGAAAGCAGCAAAGGCTAAGCCGAAAGACCCGACGCAAAGCGTGCTCGAGAAGTACAAGTCTCTATACGAAGAAAGCGATCCGGATCGAATTGCTAAAACAAATATGGAGGACTACAAGAACATGTTCACGCAACGAAAGGAAATAAGCGATAGTCTTACCCAGCCGGAATCATCAACAGCTGCAACCAATCGTCCTTCGGGTTTAGATGTCGTACCAGAGGAAGAGGAAGAAAGCACATTGCCTCGATCAAACTCGACTTACCCAAGTGAAACGCCGATGGGCACCTTGAAGAGAAAGACTAGGATTGATGACGAAAACGGAGATGTGGACATGGAAGACGTGGACAAACCCAAAAAAAGTAAACGGAGAGCGGTCGAAGGTGGTGACTCAGTGCAAACCCAAGCCCAGGAAAAACCAAACTCGAAACAACAGACAAAGTCGAAGAAACCTCAGGCCAAGATTATTGATAATAAGGCCTCCGAATCGACCGGTGCGGCACCTGGTAAACCCGACAAGGACGAAGCATTCCTGAAGGCCGTTGCTTCCACCAAACGAGGGAAGAAACACGAGGATTCGTTTGACCGTGAATTTAACCAGTTGCGGATATCGAAACCTGACTTGCAGAGAGAGCAGGCGGTTGAGGAATGGAAGATGCTCGAAGAATTTGGTGATGACGGAGATGTAAGAGGTAACTTCATGGTGATAGTAGAGATGGATGTTCCGAGGCAGGGTGGTGTTGGAGTATATAGGAGAGGTGAAGGGCGAATGGAATGGGAGAATCGCCCAGACTTCAAGAAGTTCAAGAAGGTATGTGTTACTGGCGACTATGTTCGTCTTTCTTCGCTGATGATGCCTAATATTGCAGAAACACGTTGGTGAGAGACGTAAGCCTGTGGATCTTGTTCTTGAAGACCCTGAAGGATTTGAATATCCTTCCCGTAAGCTCTGCCATTCGCTAAGTTTGTAGAACCTATTTGCTGAGGTTGCATACAGAGCCTATACGGAAGACCAGCCATTCTAAGGCGTCCCAATCGTTTGAGGCAACGCAAGCAGGCTCGCTACCCAAGGCACAGACACAAGCGAGTCCCCGCAAGACGCAAACTGCTATCGTGGACTCTGATGATGAGGAAATGGCTGCACCGACGGGCACTAGGCGGAGTCAGAGACGGACTCCTCAACCGCAGTCAAAACCGACCTCACAAGCCTCGACCAAGTCCTCTAGGGCTACGAAGACGAAACAGAGTCAATCCAAGAAGAAGCCGTTGTTCATCGTTTCCGAGGAGGAGGACGAGGATATGCAAGACAATGGAGCTGGCAAAGGTGATGCCATGTCTGGAGATGAGGATGTTTCTTCCGGCAAATCACGATCACAGGCGGAGACATTGCAGAGTGCCCCTCCGACCATGGAGAAGTTCAGTGGGCGCGCCACACGGTCAACCGCTACGAAGAGAAAGGCACCAGCAGCGTTGTTGGACGACGATTCAGATGACGGGGTGACCTTCAAAGGCTTTGGGAATAAGAGGCGCAAGAAGTAGATTCGGACGCTCTTTCTGCTTCAACTTTTGTTTAGGTGGTATTTTGAGTCTTGAATATTTCATTCTAGCTGTAATCTAGACATGTCTTAATGGTGCATGGTATGGATGAACACTGTACTTTTCAACGGGGGAGACTTTTCACCGGTGGCGGCGGCAGGCGACGTCTAAATTTAAGCCATGTTTGCTAGACGCCCATAACCCAAATCCTCTCCTTCCTCCATGTCATGGCGTTCGTGATACGACGACGGAGTCTGGTCCGCCTACTCATCCTCCTCGCATTCATTCTTTTAGTTCGACTCTTTGTGGTCTCACCGTCTTCAGCTGCATCTTCCATAAAGGCCTTCTATGATTCCGACCCTCAGGAGATCAAGAAGCAGGGTGTGCTGGACCTCGTAACAGCCCGCGGGGAGAAGGCATTGGATGCAAGGAAACACAAATGGCTTCAAGTGCGGTTGGGTAGAGATGAGAGAGAGGACTTGTTCAGCGACATAGTGAAGGATGGTTACCTCGATTACTGGGAGCGGTTCCAAAAGCCATAGTGCGTACTTCTCTCCGTATGATCCTAGACGCGTTGTGAATGCTCACATTTTGCTCTGAACAGCATGACTGGACACGAGACTTCTCATATGGACCAACAGTCGGTCTATTCGTCGGTTGAACAGCTGCTCGCACTCAATGGATGGGTGACTGGACTATGTCCGACACTTACTCGCCCATTCGGACAGAATAGATACGAGCACGCATACGAGAGTCTCGCAAAGGAAGGCCACCTCTACTATGTCGGCATCATCGTTCATTCTGCAGACCATTTTCTCATTGACCAGCTCGCTGTCATCGTCCAACTCGCTAAACGTTTGGGCACCTCTAACATCTTCGTCTCCATACTCGATTACGACTCTTCAGATTCCACGGAAACGCTTACAGACCTCTGCGAGGCTGTCCTCACGTTGCTGGGCATACCCTTCCGGATACGGAGGGTACCTGGTATGACAGCTGATCCTACGGCCGCCTACTACCCGCTGGAGGAGGCGCATACGCGCAACCTCGCGCTTGAGCCTCTGCACGAGCTTCTGGAGAAGAGGAAGATCAAGTTCCACAGGGTAATTTGGCTGAAAGGCTTCACCTGTCCCAACGACATCCTTGAGACGATCAAGATCAGCATTGCCAACGAGGCTGCAATGGTATGCGGTATGGATTGGGCGGAGCACAATGGACTCTTCA